ATTCAAAAGAAGGCATCGACCACTCCATTCAATCGTTGCAACTACATTATTTCTCTTTCCACAAATACCAATATATCAAACCCGCAAATTCTGCAAAGAGAAATAATATCTGTCAATAGGAATACACTTTGAAATGCTTCTCGTCTTCAAAGAGTACTTTTTCAACATTCGACTTCTTCCTTGGATGGAATTCAAATAACAGTAATAGATTTACGAATAAAGCTCTATGACACAACAGTACAATTTCTTTGAGAAATTTCAAATGCCATATTTGCCTTCAAAATGGAAGTTTTTTCTAGCAGTTTCCATAAAAAAGATAAAACTGTCACAGTAAAATAGATTGGAGGATAAAAAAAGATAGAAACTTAGAGGATAGATTTATCAAACAATACGCTGCTTTAGTAAAAAATTATCTCAGGACACTAATTAGGCCGAAATAAGTGAAGGACCATAAACTACAGGGAATAGAGAATGGGGAAATCAAAATAACACCAAAACCACATTGGAGCTACATCACAAGCCCTCAAAATCAAATTTACTACAAAAATCTGGAATACAAAGAGAGAAAAATCTGGAATAATAAAGGATCAGCATATATTACAAATCACCAAAGATATGATTTCAAAAAAGGAATATTAGAAAACTTCAAATTACAAGTGGACTGTTCAAGCCGTTTGATCACTCCACATCAGGAGCCACCGAATGTCCAACGTGCAGTAACCTGTAGATCGAAGAAACAAGGAAACCAGACCAAACACACACACCACTGGACAACAGGACGAATTGAATATTTTACTGCAAGTACACAACTTCAGGAGAGAAACATCTAATCATTAGCAATGCTGGTGAAAACGGACCGATCTATCAAATCCTTTGAAGTGATATGCTCATTTCAAGATATTAAATGTTAGACAAATGGCTTATATTTTCTCAAACATATACTTCAAATTCATAATCTCAATAATATCCTGAAAATAATAATGTCCAGTTTAATTTAAAATAACATTCATAGTATACTTTCATGTGAAGCTAGTTCGTTTCAAGGTACCAGCGAGCTGTAACCAATTAACACAATGGCTATCTAATGAATTATTTAAATGACATGTAACCAGCACTTCGTAAATAACATACAATGCTGCACTAATTTTGCTCTGTGTTAACAAACACTCCGTATCAATTTCAGTTTAAAATCAACTACAGAGGACGTTCGATTCAGTTATAAAATGCCAAATTGAAATATTATTTTAAGTTTTATAATGACGAAGCTGAAACGTAAATAAAATAGGTTCCAATTAAGTGTACCTTATAAGTTGTGTTATGAATTGCAAACACCATAGCTGCAGTTGGTGGTGGCAAACCTAGAATCCAGCGTCTGCTCTTGGTTGTGTACGGGTACAAATTATGCATCTTCACCTTTGGCCCACTACTATTCATTCTCTCATGGTGGATGATGATTCTTGATTATCGTTCAGGGAAAAAATGAAGGAAAAAGAAGAGAGGAGTAGAAGATGGGAGCACACACGACACAGGAAGGGAGAGCCGGGAAACCCGTGCCATCTCCCCTCCAAAACCAAAAACCAGTACTTTATTCAGATGGTTGACCTGCCATGGGAGCGCACCCGCCATGGCAAAGGTCGCTCAGAACAACAGTACCTATGCATAATGCATCACAATTAAACGATTTCTATCGCCTCGTCTCTACCTATATACAAACGCATCATCATCACGCTCTTGCATACTGTAATTTAGACTGTGCAACAGATACGGAGTATATCTCAACATAAGAATTAATGAACCGTTATATTTAACCTTGATCATCCCCAGCAACCTTCGTCTCTGAGATCTTCCGTTCCAGGCGAGAGCCATCGTGCTCAAACAGAAGCCTCCCAGCCAGATCTATTTCATCAATTCATAACCAGATCTTATCAACAACCTGCCAACCACCATCAACACACAACGATACAGAACAAAGAAGAGAACAATTCATATAAAACTCGACCGATTGATCAAACAAACCGTCCACAGACAGAAGTAATTCGAATCAGGCCAAAACAAAACGGAACACAAAAATAACACCTGATATACCGTCGGTCGGCCGATTGTGAAAGAACAGCGACGTGAGATCTGTCTAATCCTCCGACGACCATTGAACAGAACCAAGGAAGAATAGAAACCCCATAGATCTGGGAAGAAAAGATTGAGCGGCTACGGGTTTCTCGTGGAATGGATTAAGATGTGGGTTGAGGTTGTGATATTTATTGAGGGCAACGAATGACCGAACGGCTGCGATGTGGAGAGTTTGGTGGATAATTTTGACGGTGAGACGTCGATTTCAAAGCGGTGGATATTTTGACCGTTGGCTTCTTAAAAAAGAGAATATTGCTAGTCACAAATAAACAGTTCACAAATTTACAAACTTACATTTTTAACACTTTTCTAGAAATAAGATACATTCAAATAATAAAAGATATTTTATTGTGAAGTTTGTGAACTATATGTTTGTGACTCTAGCATTTTTCTAAAAAAGAATACTTGTAATTACTGTTTTGATTCAGAATTTTCTATTCGTCCTAAATTAATATTTTCATTACATTTTTTTATATTATATGTTATGAGGAACTACCCATGGGCGTGGAAAAGGCGTCACGATGTGACCACCCCAACACTGCAGTGTGACACAGTCATGAAAACGGAGTTTGATGATGCTCACAAACATTTCCTCTCTTTATCTCTTTTCTGTTTAATACTGAATATTCTGTTTAAAATCAATCAAAATTTTATAGACATTGACCCATCACAACGACCACAAGAGTTGTGGAAATGCTCATTGCACCCATAGGCGTTATTAAACTAGACAAGAGTTGACTTATCTTCCACTAATTTAAACTTTATGACCAGAAGTTATTTGAAAATAAATTTTGACTATTTTAATAGTAAATGGAGAAAATAAGAAAATGAGTCTAGTTTGGGAAACAAAATATTCTTTCCACACAAAAAATAATTTTACTTCTTACGTCCAAAATTAAATTATTCTTATTTTTACATATTCAAATTGAGTTTTTATTATATTTCTATTTTTGTTAATGATTTGGTAAAATAATACAATCGTAATTTTTTAGTATGTAACATTTTTAATTCCACAAGAATTTATAAATGAATTGTACTGAAAACATTTTTAGTGAAAATATTATAATAATAAAAATTCCTAGCAAATTTCTCACCTAGAATGGATAATATTGAAAATGAGATGATATTATGACTAGATCTGTCAAAAAATGACTCGACCTGTTTTTAACCTTAAACCCGATCTGAAACACTAGGTTTTAAACAAAAGTTTTGATAACCGAACTCGAAGTTGACCAAACCCGAAATGACCCACTAAAATTGGTTAAAATCTGATCGAACCCAAATTCGATCTGACCGACTCGCTAAAGTAAGAGTTTTTCAAAATCATATACTTTACTACACGTTTTTAGTGTATAAATTTATATTTTCAATCAAAACTTTAATTATATTGCAAAATTATCTTACTTTTTTCTAAAACTTCAGCATCTTTAAATTTCTTATATTGATTTATATATTTAAAAATTACTTCACAATTTAAAATAAAATAATCTAATAGATTTAATGCATATTTTTTGATATTTTAAATACATTTAATACAAAATATAAGGGTTAATGTAAATTTAAAATTTAAAAAACCAAAGTCATAATCTGTTGGGTCAATCTGAACCCGATAACACTGAATTGTAAACATATAGTTCTCACCCCAAACCCAAAATAAATCGAACCCAAAATAATCCAAATTCGAAGTGATCAAAACCAAACCCAACCTTACCGATATTCCAGATCTAATTATTTCACATTCATTAAAAGTTTTGTGCCAAAATAAGAACCCGAAAATAATTTTTAGACAACTCAAAAAATAACAAGTCCTAGATTTTTTTTCTTCCAATTTTTGGAAATTACTACCTTAGATCCTATATATTTATCAAATTTTAATTTTTCTGATCAACTATTTTCAATCATCGAACTATATTTAAATAAAATAAATTTTGTATATAAAATAAAATAATATTTTAATAATATTTATTTTAATAAATCAAATAAGATTAGTTTTATATCAATATCTAATAACATTTTTATTTGGTAGTGATGCACCTAAAAGAATTGCAAAAGAGAAGTCCTTTTTCAAAAACTAATACGCTTACTAAAATTTATATTTTAAATAAATTTAAATAAATACAAATAAATAATGCAGTGGAATTAAACTAATAGTGACAAAAAGGGTTCATTTCAAATTGAGAAATTTAATGCACACACTTCATTAAAAAAAATTCGTCAAAACAATAATTGAGAACAATTGGGTGGTATATATATAGACTTGTCCTGTTGTAAAACCTTATCTCCTAAAATCCTTAGGTCAAGTGTCCGGGTGGGATCGAACCACCACCCTCTCAAATAAATTTTGAGCGCTCTTCCAACCCAAGCTCCAGACACAGCCAACGAAGACAATAACATCATATAATGCATTTAAACAGGCAATGGGTCAATTGCATTAAGGAGAAATTCAAGAACTCAGGAAAATAAAAGTAGAGTTCAATGACCAACCTTATGGTGGGAAAACCTTGGATTCCAGGTTAAGTCCACATCTCCACCTTAACACAATGATAAGCCTTATTCAAGTGGGCATCAACAATTCCATTCAATTGTTTCCACTACCAAAATATCAAAATACAAAAATATCTATCCTGCTAATTCTTCAAAGAAAGTATATTTGACAAAAGGAATGCAGTTTGAAATGTTTTCATTTTCAAAGAAAAGTTTCTCTTTGTACTTCTCGGTGAATATCAAATAAATCACATAACAATAACGCTCTACTTCAAGGAGCATCTTGTAAAATCCAATCAGAAAAAACAGTCAACCCAAAACAGATTGGAGGATTAAAAAAAGATAGAAACTTAGGAAATAGATTTTTTTATCAAACAATACGCTGCTTAGTAAGAAAAAAATTATCTCCGACCATTTTAACCCAAAATAAGTGAAGGACCAGAACAACTCATGGAAGAGAGAAGGGGGGTGTAAAAATAACACCCAAACCACATTCAAGCGCCATGACAAACCCCTCAAATTTACTACAAAAACTTGAAGTACAAAGAGAGGAGAGTATAGTCTAAGGAGCATTGTAAAAACAAAGGATTTGTTTATATTAAAAATCACCAAAAATATGATTCTAAACAAAAAAGAATATTGGAGAACTTCATATTACAAGTGCAATGTTCAGGCCACTTGATCCCTACATATCAGGAACCGAAAGTCCAATGTGCTCGGTAACCTGTATGTCGTAGATACATGGAAACCAGACCATATATATACAACTTTACAACAGGACGAATTGATGAAAAACTGGACATATATGCAGATTGTATTGCAAAAATGCAGATAAAAATAAAGTTCAGAAACAGGGTACACGTGCTGCCAATAACACAGCTAGTGTAACGGAGAACAATCTATCAAATCCTTGTACAATACACGTGTCCTTGCAATCATAATCTATGAAATACATCAATTGCCATTTTTCTAAACATTCCTAAAAGCCCTTTAAAGTGATATGCTCATTTCAAGATGTTAAATGTTGGAAAATGGCTTCTATATGCTCAAATATATACTTTAAACTCATCATCTGAATAAAATACTGAAAATAACAACTGTCTTATTACATGAAATCAGTGAGCTGTATCCAATTAAACATTAGGGCCATCTAATAAATTAATTCAATGACATGTAACCAGTACTAACTTTTGCTTTGTGTTAGTTAAGCAAATACAGAGCATCAATTTCGGTTTTGGGACATTTGATAGATTTATAAACTGCTAAATTGAAATATGATTATAAGTTTTTTAATGACGAATCTGAAAACGCAAATCAAATAGGTTCCAATTTAGTGTACCTTATTAATTGTGTTATGAATTGCAAACACCATAGCTGCAGTTGGTGGTGGTGAAACTAGAATTCGGAGTCCGCTCTTGGTTCTGTACGCGTGCAAAATATGCGTCTTCTTCTTTGGGCCCACTACTATTCATTCTCTCATGGTTGATGATGATTCTTGATTACGGTTCAGAGAAAAAAAAGAAAAAGAGAAGAGAGGAGCAGAAGATGGAGGCATACACGACAAAGGAAGGGAGAGCCGAGAAACCCCGTGCCATCTCCCCTCCAAAACCAAAAACCAGTACTTTATTCAGATGGTTGACCTGCCATGGGAGCGCACCCGCCATGGCAAAGGTCGCTCAGAACAATAGTACCTATGCATCACATTTAAACGATCCCTATTGCCTCGTCTCTACCTATATACAAGCGCATCATCATCATGCTCTTGCATACTGTAATTAAGAGTGCAACAGATACGGAGTATATCTCAACATAACATTGAATGAACCGTTTTATTTAACCTTGATCATCCCCAGCAGTCTTCGTCCCTGAGATCTTCCGATCCAGGCGAGAACCATCGCGCTCAAACAGAAGCCTCCCAGCCAGATCTATCTCTTCAAACCATAACCAGATCTAATCAAAAACCTGCCAACCACCATCAACACACAACGATATAGAACATAGAACAAAAGAAGAATACATATCAAACTCGACCGATAGATCAACCAAACCGTCCTCAAACAGATGTAAATGGAATCAGACCACTAATCAGAACACAAAAATAACACCTAATATACCGTCGGTCGGCCGATGATGAACGAACAGCAACCTGAGATCTGGCTAATCCTCCAACGACCATCGAACAGAGCCAAGGAAGAACAAAAACTCTATAGATCTAAGGAACAAGGATTACAGATCTGGGAAGAAAAGATTGAGCGGCTACGGGCTTCCCGTGGAATGGAATAAGATTAGGGTTGAGGTTGCGATATTTATTGAGGTTGCGATAAGATTGGGTGGATATTTTAACGGTGAGATTTGCATTGACGTATTTCAAGGCGGTGATCGGAAATAAATGGACCGCCGGTTGGCTCCTAAAAAAGGGAAATGCTTGATTCACAAACTCAATGGTCACAAACTTCACAAACTTGACAAACTTCACAAACTTGCTATTTGTGAAGTTCAATGAAAAAAATTAAATAGTCTAAAATGATTTTAAAATGAAATTTTAAACCATAAATAAAAATTTTGTGAAGTTTGTGAGTATTCTGTTTGTGAACATAGCATTGCTCCCTAAAAAAAGAACACCTGTAATTGTTGTTTTGATTCAAAATTTTCTATTGGTCCTAAATTGAGGAGGGGTGTTTTCAATTAAAACTTTATTATATTTTTAAAGAGGATGTATTTAATTAAAATTTTATTGTATTATCTAAGATATTAAAAAGTTTGTAGATTTAGAAAATCAATAAACTCTATATAGAGTCTATGCAAAGTTTACCTTATTTTTTTATGAATTTTTACAAACTTGAGACTATTGTAGAATTTAAAGTTATTGCTCTAAAACTATTGATGCAATTCCGGGTAATGGGGTCTACGTTAACAAAATCTCTCATACAAAAGTGGTGGTCATCTGAATTTCTATCATTGATCTACATCTCGCCGACGTTGCCTCTGCCGCCGCCAATTATAGACTCCACTCTAAACTACACATATGCAGATCTACAAGTGATTTATCCCCTGATTTGAAGATATATAGAATACACGTGTAAAATCACAAAAATAATCCTCAAGTTTGATCCAATAACCTATGAAAGGAATCACAAAAAGATATTCTTATCTTAACCAAAATTCGATCCTTTTAAAAGAATATACAAAAAAGTTCTTATCCTAACAAAAATAATCCAATCGTTTGAAAAGTCCAATGTTTTAATTTGAATGACTGAAGTCTAGATTTGACACATCGGCAATTTGGCAGTGCCTCGTCTGTGTGGCGGCGAGGATCAGCGAGACGATGGCGATGGAGGAGATGGGGTTCTAGAAGGTGCAGAAAGATTTGACGAAAGGATGAACGGGAAGGTGCATGGGCGGAAAGCGTCAATGGCGCGGGAGGAGAAGTTGAAGGAGCAAGAACTGTAAGTGGTGGTGGAGAAGAACTCAGGGGAGTAGCTTGCGCAAGAGAAGTTTCCAAATCTTTAGGTTTTGGATGAGATTTTGGAATGGATTTGTATTTATACCCAAGAGCTATAAATCCATCAAAATTTGCATTCTTTAAAATTTTTAAAAATCTATCAATTTTTGAATACCATCATATTTAGAAGGATTATTTAAAATCTGAATTGAATACGCTCATATTTTAAATGACTTTTTAAAATCTGAATTGAATACCTACAAATTTTCAAAATCTAAAATTTTTTATCAAAATCCCGATTGAATACACCCACTAATATTCTTATTACTTTTTTTAGATCGGATTTACCCACGGGCATGATGGAGGCATCACGCTTTGTGACGGCGTGACCACCCGAACGCTGCACTGTGACAGAGTCATGACAAGCAGGGCTTGATGATGCTCACATGCATTGCCCCTCTTTTTCTCTTTTTTTAAAATTTTTTTTCATTTAAAATCAATCAAAATTTAATACGCATTGACACATCATCACTTATCATCACAACGACCATAACACATATTTATCATTCACCACTCCACATCATACATCTTTTTATACTGTCAAGCCCGCCATAACGCATGACCCTATGTAATTCAATACACCTTCCATCCAACAATAATCTTCACATTGCGCGTTACGGCATATGATTGAAATTTTTTTAAAATCATTTTATATGCAAAATTTTATGGAATTAAAAAATAAAATTACATATTTAAAAAATACATTAAAAGATCTTAAAAATTAGAGAACACGTGACTATATTATTTTATCAAATGACAATAAAAATATATCAATAAAGTGAATAAAAATTGACATTGTGAATAGTGAATGAAGAGATTATATTTAGGCGAGTAAAAGATTTTTTTTGTGTTGAAATTTGTGTATAGGAGTTAATCAATATACGCCTACGGAATGAGTAGTTTATTTATTATGAGACAACCCAAAAATAGAAAATGATAAAATTAACTTTGGATGGAGGAAGTATTCATCTACTACGCAATTTTAATTTATCATGTTAATTAAATAAAATAAAATCATTAATTACATAAGAATTGCAATGTGGAGTTAGAGAAATATGATTTTTTTTCATATTAGTGTAATGGAGACAGAAAATATGTGAACCACACTTATTTCCTTGAAAAAATAGAAACATTATTTAGGGAAAAATCAAAAAATAAATAAAAAAAGGAAAGATGTGATGTTATTTTGCTTGGATTCTCGTTTTGTCTAAAAAGAGAGTCAAGCTTGTAATATTTTTTTTTGTTATATTTTAATAAATACACTTTCTCATATGGTAAGTTAAGTATATACTCCAACCATGTCAAATTATATTCTCATTTTTCTTTTTCCATTCTCAAAATAAAATTTCACGCATCTCTTATCTCCTTTAAAAAAAATCAAAATTTATCATTACACATAACAAACTCTAACCACACTTTTCACTTTTCGACAGTGTTCTTAGACTCTGAAGTCAGAGTTAGAATTTGATTTGGAATTTGGATACGAAGGCGGTATAATAAGATCTGTTTAATTTAATTTCAATGCATTTAATATGTTTAGTTTCTAATATATTTATCAAATTCTCTTAATTTGAAAGTTAAATGGAATATAATTTTGATAAATGCTCTAAAATATGACACTTCTACATATTTTGCTCATGATTGTTGAAATAATAAAAACAATGCTTCTGCTATGTACACTAAAGTTTTAATCATAGTTTGGGAGTATTTATAGTATTAGTCTTATTTTATCATACCCAAGAGGAGATAAAATACAACAAAGGGTTTGAAAGTTCATGCTGGTTAATCAGCACCTTTGCTGTTTGGATGCTTTCTGGCAAAGGCAGCATGAATAAAATATATGCAGAGTGCAGAATCTGTACTTTAGTTAACAGAAGAAGATAGGCACATATCTCCTCTTAACAAACTGAAAAGTGCAATTTCAGCTCACTTTAAATATATTTAAAAAAAATGGAACCTAAAAAAGTAAGAAAAACTCCATGTTAGATCTGACTTTAGCCATAGAAGAAGCAGCAGAATCCAATGCTGGAAGCTTTTGTGTGAAGTTCTTTTAAACCCTGACTTTGCTTGGATTGGAAGAGAAGCAATCTGCCCGGTAAAGAGTCCCAACTTTCTTGTTTTTATTCATTCTTTCCAAAACCTCCCATCTCATACCTAACACTGAATAAGGCATCCCACCTAAGTGACAGACACTCCACCCCTCCTGCAACCAAAAAATAGTCCTGATTAACATTCCAGTTTCTCATGAATTCCTAATTGAAAAAGAAATAAGAGTTAAATCTTTCTGGTTTCTGGGTATTGATGCATGAACCTGGGGAAACCATGGCAGCGAGATCAGACTTTGCACAGAAGCTGCTGCACGATCTGCGGCTCAGGAAGGAGCGGATGGCATCTTCTCAGGGCTCGGGATATTCATCGCAATCTTCGTCAAGAGGTAAATCAGCAACCAATGTAGATTGGCGAAATTCAAACATATAATCATTTTTTAATGAAGGAAATTATTCATGATCTTTGCCTACTTGACATCTGAACTGGGCAGAAGTAAAATGTCAATTAAGTTCCTAGAAGTTCTAACAACTAATAAAATGATGTATTTAGATGCCACACACCATGCAAAGTGTGATGTGTAATTGTGTTTTTTTATTATTAAAATTTTTCTGAACCTCTCAGAGGGGTATGCAAATGCTGGACAAGGTTCTCGACAGATAAAATCTCTAGAATCAGTAAGTTTTGTTTAACTGTTCGAGAAATGTTTTTTTCGTATTCAATACTGAAAATTTGGCTTTTAGTCCCTCAGTTTGAAGGTTTAGCCATTCTGTTGCCTAGCTAATATTGCAAAATCATCCGTGGTTGTACCCTTTGGTGGCGGTTTAAAAGTCCCCATTTCAAGGGATTGAATAGAAGGACTAAAACCCTATCACCGAGGGTACAACAAGAGATGTTTTCTTTTCCTTATAGGCAAAAGTTAACAGGAATGGACTAAATTGGCTAAAGTTGAATAACAAAGAGATTAAAAAAGCAATTCCCCCTAATAGCTGAGTAACTTCACTTGTTATTCACATTTTTCTTATACAGGTAGGCTCAAGGATAAAGAACTCACAATCACCATTTCATATTCAAAAATCTTCAGGAGAGGTTGGTGTCCAAAACACTGGGAAGACGGATCTCTCCATGGCTATCGCGATTTCCATCGGAAACTCAGAGAAGTTCACCAAACTGGACTTTATGGGGAAAATTATGGATGGCAACAGTTTTCCTTCAAAGTGCCAGTTCGTTACCCTCTCGAATGTTTCAAAAGGGATACAAAAGATAAACCAGATCCTCAAAACCAGCTGTTCGAATGGCAGCAGTGTTAATAACTCTGACACATGCTCCATTAAGGTAGTTGAGAAGGAACTCTTAAAAGGTGCCATGGACTTGGAGTCATCCCTGAGAATGCTAGTTAACCTGCAGGAAGCATCTTCCAATCACATTAACAGCTCTCAAAGAAGGAACCAGCATGTAACATCGCTTGTTGAAGATGAATATAGAGTTGATGATGTGAAAACAGCAGATCAGAAGCAACTGGACCTTCCAAGATTTTCATTCGATAAGCCATCCAAAAAATCATATACCAAGAAGGAGACCAGAGACGGTGGAAAAAATGAATTTCTAGCCTTGACGTACCACAAAAGATCAATATCATGCATTCCGGAATTTAAGGACGATTCTGCAAATTTGGAGCCAAAAAGCCAGTCAACTTCATTAACACATGGTGCAGGGAAGGGGAGAATTTCAAATGTCATTGCAAAACTCA